AGCTCGCGGCAAGAAAAAGGAAAAGAAAAAGTACCTCCTGCCATTGTTGTTGCTCTTCAAACTGAAAATGGCTGCACTCCTGCCACTTGCCATCGGCTTCTTGGCATTGATCTCCTTCAAAGCGCTCGTTATTGGCAAGATTGCATTACTACTGAGTGGTATTATTGGACTGAAAAAATTGCTCGAATCGAAGAAGGAGAACTACGAAGTCGTAGCACATCCGCATTACTCGCACGAGGAGCACGGCTATGGACGTTCGCTGCACGAAGCGCAAAAATTGGCCTACTCAGCGTATCAAGAATAGGAAAGCAAGGTTGGGAAAGCTAAAAAACGTAGAAGTTGAATGTGGCTAAAAGGGAGTGCAATATGTATATCCTGAAAAAAAAAGAAAAACAAAAAACTTAACTTAATTTTCTAATTTATTTATTTATTTTACTATTTACAATAATTAATTTAAAATTTAGAACATTTCTACGTTAAAGAAAAAAACATGGCAGAGCGGGAGAGTATATATTTGAGAGAAGAAAAATGACATACATATGTATAAGTACGTAAATGCATATATGCGGCACAAAATTGTCACAATACTGTTTTGAAAAAAAAAAAATTATTTATTTAGTTACTCAATATTTTGCGTCACTTTCTAGCGCTGTTTTGAGCCAGAGCTCAGCAGAGTTGCCAAACAAATTTAAATGCATGCCATTTCTTTTTTATTCAGCTCGCTCGCCTGCCTGCCTAACAACTCTCCTACTAAGTACTTAGACATAAGTATAGGCAGACTATGAGCATGCTTAGTTACATACTTTTTACTATGTACTATACTATTTCTGCGCTTAACTAGTTTATGTATTGTATTATTACTCTTTTCAACTTGTTGTCACCGCTTATTGTGTTCTTTATTAGAGTAAGTATGTGTATATGTACAAACTTTCGTAATACATACTTAACTTTGTGCTTTAATGCTTTATGTAATGAAGTCTCACCTAATTTATTTTAAACTCGCAAACAGACTGGCTTTATGATACTACCTAGCTGAAAATTAAACGCAACTCGAATGGATGAACTTTACTTAATTTAACTAGAAACTTTACTGAATCTATAACTAGTGCAAGCTTTTGAACTTTCAGCACCTAACAACAATTCACCAATTTCAGGAAAAAGGAAGCAACTCTTGCTTACTTACATCTCTAAATTTGTCTCACATATATACCCATTTACACAATATGTAGTTTTAGAGGAATATTCTTCTACCACTTTACTATAACAATTTTTTCGCCTAGTAAACACCTTCTAGTATTTACATACACACACACACTTACATATCTGTGAAAAGTACAAAACTAACAGAAACTAAATTTTTTAACATTCACTTAGCAACACAATAATGATGTTCTCTTAAATAACTACAATTAACAAAAAAAATTGCTTACATTATGCAATAGAATGATAAAACTCAAACAAACAATCTGTTCTGCTTTTCGCCTATCAGTGAAAAAAAGACAAAATCTTGAAATGAAGCATTTACTAGAATATATCTGATGTTTATGCGAAATGTGTCATAAATTTTTTCCTATGTACTTCTTTGCTCTTTATGGACTGAAAATAAATATTTGCAAAAAAAATCAAAAAAATATTAATTTTAATTAATTGCTAATCGATAGCCGCAGCCAGCTGGATTGAGAAAAAAAACTCAAGCAAAAAATAAAAAAAAAACTGAGCTAATAATGTGCCTTGGTTAATAATGAATTTCTTGCATAATCTAACAGCTCAACAATTGGATTCAGCGACGCCTCAAGAAAGGTAAGTGGTATTTTTAAACAGGGTCGTAACGCCGCACAGTGGTGCCCGAGAGGAAAAAAGTCAATTCTAACATCACAATGTAGTTTTTGTGTAGATAAAGGGTATTGTACCACTGCAACTGTTTGAAAAAGTAAGATAATGGCAACAGGTACGTTTTTTTCACCAAAAATGTAGGAACTTTGTAATGTTACCTTTATATTATTATTATATTTACCTTTTAAACGTTTTCTGTCTCTACTTTAGTTGACAGATTGATATATTGGCATCAATACTTTATAACTTTTATCTTAAGTTTTTATTCCTATCCTCATATACTAATGATGGCATACATTGCACTTTTAAGGCGGCTCGCAGGGCTGCCAACTTGGCTCAAACCATGCCACCTTTAGCCCTATTTTATATCAAATGGCACTTAGTTTTTCAATTAGGCACAGAGTGCCTAAATGGCACTTTTTAAAAACAGTAATATGTCAATACATTTTTGTTAAATTCTTTGCGTATGCTTCTCTTTCTCAACTAAAATTTTGTAATTTCTAAATATTATTCAACTGCTTTATTTTATTTTGGAATTGCACTTTTGTTTTAAAAATTTAGTTTCAATATGGCACCTCATAGCTAAGGATAGTTTGCAACCCTGGCGGCACGCCCATTTTTGGAGCGTTCTCTTTTAGTAGTATTATGAATACATATACAAAATCTCGCAGTTTTTTATCATCGGTGCGCTTTTTATGGCACTTTTAAGCAGGGCTTCGGAGCAAAGGTTTTTTTCCATCGCTCAGATTTGGTATTTTATTTGGCTCTGAGTTCAGCTCTTAGCTCCGCTCCCGCTCCAAATAAAAAGTTTGTATTTATATGTTTAATTACTTAGTACATTTAGTTGATATTTTTTTATTTTTTTATTTTCTGGGCAGAGCATAGATGTACAGCTATTTGTAAGATTCCAATATATTTTGTCATGTAAATAAAGTGGCAGATATTAGTGCAGCCAGGAAAATATCCGAAAACGGATCCAAAGAGGAAAAAAGTGGATGAAATGCGGATTTTTTCCGTTTACCGATTCCATTTTGGGATACTTTGACAATCCCTTTTCCCCCTTAAATGTGCGGCAGAAATGTATGTACAGACAAGAACCGAAAATTTGTTAGAAACAGATACGTTTTTGGCAATTTTACTCAAAATTCTTATTATTTAATTTTTCGTTCAATACGCTTTCCTTCTGTACTTCACAGATGCTTTTTCATGGTTCCAAAAAAAGGAAGCGCCTGGTGGAATTCGAACCCGACACCTTCTGAAAGCTAACAAAAAATAGCACGATCCCCTGCACGCTCAGCCACTGCCACCTACGTATACATGCTTTCAAATGTGCAGCTTGAACTTAATGCTTTTAAATAACATTATCTTTTTCGAAATGTTTCGAACGTTTTCCAGAGACGACAATCAATGAAAATTATAGTCGTTTTCCGTTCGTTTCCGGATCCGGAGAATTGTACGAGACCGCACTCTCCAATCGCAAAATTTACGTTTTTCTGCTGGCCGGGAAGTCTTTTTATTTTTATCGCCGTTGAAGTTGGCGTGGCAATATCCCTGATGAACACTATTGCCAAGTAAAAATAGAATGAGAATTTATTTAACACGGTTGTTTTCAGTGGCAAAAAATAAATTAAAATTAAGTAAATTTAATTAGTTCGTAAGATATGCGTAACTATTTCCAAGAATGAATATCGATCCAGCTTTTTTGTAATATGATCAAAATAACTAGGAGGGGAAGAGCCTTTCATTAGGGGAAGTTGTCTCATAATAAGCGTTAAAATATATGCATGGCCTTATAACAAAAACGAGCATCGCTTATTGTTCCTTACATATTGTACAAAGAAAAAATCTCAAACAAAGATTACTGAACCAAAATCTTACAGACTAGTTAAATTTACCTAATTTAGTGAATGAAATTTAAAAAAGAAAAACGGTTTTATACACTATATTACTGCACATGGATCACCATGTGGTATGAGTTACAGCAATTCAAACTCCAAACGCAAGTCGGGTGGGGAAGGCATGGTCCAGAAGGCGTAAAATTTTAGGGGAGCCCTCCTTTTAACCAACCTCAACTTTTTGGAGGGTGAGACTGAAGATTTTTTCAAAGAAAAATTAAGAGAAGCCCTAATTGTACACGCAAAAAGATAGTTATCAAAGGCTTGCAAAACATGACAATTACTATGGGAAGTTATACTTCTCTCCTGAAAAGCTAGCGATATGTAGGTACAGCAAATAGCCAGTAACTCAATTTCTGGGAATCGCACTTTCGAAAAAATATTAAATACGCTAACATTGCAAATAGTTAATATTTATGTAGTTGTATGAAATTTTAATTAAGTAGATAGTTTTACCTTGGCAATTTTGAGATACCAGCCACCACACCACACTTCTCTTCATTATAAGGCATTGATCAAACCAAATAAACTATTTATTACTTATATATTAGTAGCACAGGTCTAAGCATTAAACTACGGCAATTGTGTCAATAATTGTCAATCACTAACCATAAACTTGATGCTCTAAAAACATTTGAAGAAAGTATCGATAGTGACCTTATTTAGCCATATGTGTACAATTATTTTCCATTTTTAATTGTTTCAATTACTTTTGTTTCTCTCTCTCTCACACACACTTTTGTAATGAAATCATGCAACAAACGGCTGTAACTGCGTAATTGGCAAAGCAATAAAAGCAATCGAGAAGTGATGTATACAAGTTTGTTGCAGCAACGAAGAATGTGAGCACTCACTCACCTGTGGAGAAGACATGCAACATACATATACATACATAGATATACATACAATACATACATACATATATGCATATGTGCAGCGCAACACGATCTGCAAATAATTGAAAAGTATTGCAGTATCAAATTCTTATATGAACGCAAACAGATCGAATATCTTCTTAGAAAAAAGAAAGTCGGTGCGAAATACTCACATAGATTTGTATGTGCATACATAAATACATACATATGTGCATACATTTGTAGGTATGTATTTAAAGAAAGTAAATTAGACTAGACCGGACTTGTGTGCCCACATACTTTCAACTAAGCATACACAAATATGTACATAAATATATGTGTATGAGTATTTAGTACAACAACAACAACAATTTTCTAATGCACTACGAAGAATCATAAATTAAATTGCTCTGGAAAATTGTCTTCCAATTATTTACGCTTTTTTTGTGTAAAGTATAATTTTCAGTGAATTTTTTGCAAATATGATTTACTTTTGGAAAAAAATTTTTCACACACGTTTACGCTTTTGTTTAAGTATTTAAAAACACAGAGGTGCATATCAAGCCCTAGCCGCCAAAAAGAGCTAAGCCATATTATTTTCTTTAATTTTATTTTTGAATGCAGAAATGCGCACGATGCTCTGGGAACATTTTTGCATCAAAAAGAAAATTTTTAGAAAAATGTCGCTTACATCGTTTTTAGTGGTTAAGGCTCGATTGTAGCATTATGCTGATTGAAAGGGGAAAACATCTCTACATGGTGGTGAAAGCAAATCATTTTTTTAGTATTTAGAATCGCAAACAATTTTTCGAAGTAAAATCTTTTCCACACATTTATTTTTTGTCAAGAGAAGCTGCTTACTCCATAAATATACGATTTAGTACAAAGGACTTACAAAACATTTCAACCGAGTTGCAGATGCAATCGAAGGCCGCATTGTCAAAAGCACCCAGAACGTCTGCAGGAATGGTTCAGTTAAAAATAGATTGCTTATTTTCTTGAAAATTATAAATGATGAGTGGCATTTTTTGAAACTCAATATGTGAGATCCAATATGACGGACAAAAATTAGAAAAATTATTGGATGCACTTGTTACCCAAGGTTTTTTTTTTTGATCGCTATTTACGAATATGATCATGAATTTTTAATATTTAATATGGCGAATTCAACATTGAGGATTCAATAAATTTTTGGAAGTTGGATCCGCCATTTTAAATATCAAAAATTCATATATACATATGTACATGTTAACATCTCTTCGGCTAACATTGAACGTTCGATCGTTTGAATTGAATTTTCCTGCAGACACATGGATTCATGTATAAGTTAATATAGTCACACACATATATATGTATGTATGTATATTTTTAATACTGCCTTTGTGGTTACAACAGTGATTAAAGGATGATGCCGACATGTATGGCACATGCATTTGTATACAAACGGCATTTTATTGTGAACAACTTACCCACCAGCGAATGGAATGCATTACGCATCGATGCCTCATGCCTCATA